TATATATATATATATATATATATATATTAAGAATATTTATTTTTTAGAATATGTTTTATGCAAATTTGTGTAATTCAACTCTTAAATTACTCTCTTGTGCTATGTCTAATTGATCACTTTTGCCATTATAATTTTTAAATAATACCATCCTCTAATATATTCCAAGAATTATAAAAACAAACAATTTGTCTCAATTCAAAAAAAGAGGCACATAAAATCATATCTTCATTTATTTTTTAATATAAATAAAATAATAAATTAATGATGGGATCAAAATAATTTTCTTAAATAATAAATTAAAACTAAAACAAATTTAAAATCACTACAATCTAAGCAATTTAAACTAACAGAATAAGCATTAATTATTTAAACAAAAAAGAAAAAGCATAAATATTTAAAGAGGCATTTACATACATAGCACAAAATTATTATTTATTTGCATATCTCACACCTAAACTTTCATATTTACATACATAGCATGCAAATCTTTAATATCGCATAAAAAAAATACAATTATTATCATTTCTTAAAATAAAAAGCAGCTTTTTCACGCATAGGTTTAAAACACGAAAGTTCTGTGTAAATATGAAAGTTCAGGTGTAAGATATGTAAATAAATAAGAATTGTGACTTGCGTATGTAAATTTCCCATACTTAAATAGTAACGTAGCTCTACGTGCGACTCCCAGTAATATAACGACATGTGTGTTATATCGGGCCCGCCTAAAAAATATTAAAGTGAAACCGTGAAGGTTATTGGAGTGGAACTGCAGATGTTATTTGGAGGTTTATTAGGAGGTTATTGGGGGCAGTTCCACTCCATTAACCCCTTGCAATAACCATTTAATAACCTTTGCAGTTCCATTTCAATAACTCCCTACAATAACTCCCAAATAACCTCCGCAGTTCCACTTCAATAATCCCCTGCATTAAACCCCGCAATAACCCTTTAATAACCCCTCAATAACCCCTGCAGTTTCACTTCAATAACCTTCGCGATCTAGCACATGTGACGGTATATTATTGAAGTCCGCACGTAGCTACATCCAGAGCCCGAACAGAAAATTTTCTCCATTAAATTAGGCATAAAGTAAAAAAACAAAAAAAATCCAGAAAATTCAAATAAAAACAAAATTGAATATTATTTGTTATTAAAATGAGCCCTGCCGACGCGGACATCATTTCAAATGTATAAAAATGAAAATCTCAGTTCTGAATTCAACCTTTGGGAGAAGTTATCAGAAGTTTCGTTTTCTGGGAAGAACTGAAATGCTCCAGAGGAAAAGTTCAGCCAGGCCTGAACTTCCTCGCAGCTCTCAACTGCTGTATACGTTTCTTGTCTTGCTCAAATTTGCTCTGCAGCATCATAACCTCTGCAAGGAAATACAAGGATGGAAGAGCAACCATGCATTAGAACTAGATAAGTTAAAGAAGGTAGAGAAGACTAGAACATGCACAATGGAAATTAGAAGTAAAATTACTAAGGGTTTGTTTCACAGCACTTCTGTTTCTTATTTTTGTTTTATTTTTTCTTTTATTTTTTTAAAATATATTTAGTTGGTATAATTTTTATATGCTTTTATTTTGGGGCATTTAAATACATGCCACCCAACTCCTATTTATCTATTTATCTACATATCTAACACCTAAACTTTGTATTTTATATTTATAAAACCTGAATCTTTCATCACATCAAAAATACCTCTATTTCAACTTTTAAAAAGTGAAATACACCTTCTCTTGCATGGGTATAATGGCATATATGTAAAAAATTGAAGTTTAGGTGTAAGATATGCAAATACATAAGAATTATGTGGTATGCATGTAAATCTTCCCTTTATTTTTTGTTTTGAAAATCAGGTAACAACCAAATATTCTAAGAGATACTTTGAGTGTTCTTAAAAAAAACTAATTCAACTAAACATGTTATAATTCAAGTCAAACGATTAATAAACAAAAATGAAAAATGAAAAGGAAAAATAAAAGAGATCCCAATGGCCCCTGAGGAAGGGAAGAAGAATTAATGAGAAGTATAAATTGCAAATTGGTGGGCAAAATATTGCATGCAGCATGGGTGGCGACGATATGGTGACACATCAAAGCATGCTCAACCAGTTTAATGTACTCAGAAAACATTATCATTCTAGACGGAAATCACATACCATTCCTCTTAGCTTCCCGTTTTTGAAATCTGTAGAAATCTAGTGCAATTTCTTTATTTTTCTTTTTAGATATCTTATCCATCACAGCAGCAGGCGCCACGGATCCCACAGCTGTACCAGTTTCAGCATCAGTTGTTTTCTTTCTGCCCTTCTGGTGCACCACAACAGTCCATCCATCTTCAGCAGCAAGAGCTTCCCTTTCTTTCCTCTCCTGAAAATTTCAAGCGGGAATGACATTGTAAATGAAAGCATTCACTTACATTGCAGGATAAGAAGGCATGCTGTTACATTTTCCTACTGGAAAAATAATTTGCTTTGCAAAACTCAAGGGAATGTTCTCCAAACAAATTAAAAGCAGGGGGCATTTACTAACGTACCACACCATTCTTATATAATTACATAACTAACACCTAGAGTTTAATATTCACATGCATGGCATGCAAATCTTTAACACCACATCAAAGTACCACAACTAACCACAGTTAATAGTGAAATACAATTTTTCATGCATAGCTTTATTAAACCAAAGTGTCACAAATGTAAATATGAGAGTTTAGATGTTAGACATATAAATACATAAGAATTGTGTGGCATTTGCGTAAATTTATCCTGAAAGCAATAGCCCGGTAAAACCTGTTCCAGCCGTTCCTCATGAGCTGTCACAAATTCATCTATTCTCTGTTGAAGCACTTTTAAGCCTGGTCTGCTTTCTTTGTATTGTGTAAGCCATTCTGTAACAAAATAAAAAGTTCGATATAAAAATTAAAGTTTTGAGAGAATGCACCAGCATCTTATTTGGCAACAATGCATTGGTAATCTAATAATTGCCTCCTTCGCAAATACAACATAAATCCTGGTCTGCTTTTGCTAAGCATAAACCTAAAGCTTTAGATATACTATAGATAGAAATACTTGGTGAATATTTTATGAAAAGCCAATTCCATATAATTAAAAATTTTAGCTTACAAATTATTAAACCATGTTCATCTTGTTGCCAAAAAAGAATTACATACTCCCCTATTAATTCATTTAATAGGAACAAAATTACTCCTGAACGGATGATTTGTTATTTGTTCATACCAATCTTCATATCTTATCTATTAGAAGACCATAATACACTTAAAGAGGAAACTAAATTATGAGATATTGATTGAGAAACATTAACTACAATGAATAATGTTGAAGCCCTTTGTTGATCTCTCTTTTGATGAGCCATTTTTAGAAATTATATTTTTTCAAGATAAAGGTGAAGATGAAGGTGTAATTGAAGAGAGCACTGGCCAGTGCTAATGATGACCCCAGCGTTGAGTTGTTAGCTCTAATTAGTAATGCTCATATATTCATGTTTTGTTTCATTATTTTGAGAATGACAATGAAATTTTTTAGAACATTTTGTATATTTTAAAAGCAATACCACTAGTGGCAAAATATATGACAACATAAAACGATCAATGAATGCTTGATGGATAAAACATTTCTTATCATTTCAACAACAACAACAACAACAAAGCCTTAATACCACATGTGGGGTCGGCTACATGAATACACTTTCTCCATTGCATCCTATTTAGTGTCATATTTTCATTTAATTCTAATAAATTAAGATCCTTCTCTATACAATAAGCCCAAGTCTTCCTAGGTCTACATTTGTCTTTCTTAACATAAGTCGAATCTAAAATATCTACTCTCCTAATCGGATCATCAGATGGTCTACGTTTAATGTGACCAAACCATCTAAGACGACTCTCTCTAATTTTATCCATCATTGGAGCTGCACCAACCCTATCACGAAGATATTCATTTCGCATTGTCTCTAAGTGTAAAGCCACCCATCCACCTAATCATTCTCATCTCGGCAACACTTCACTTACTATTATGCTTCTCTTTTAAAGGCCAACATGCAGCGGCATAGAGCATTGCAGGTCTCACCACCCACTTATAAAAATTTTCTTTCAGTCTAAGCGGTACTTTTCTATCACACAAAAGGCCCAAGGCATTCCTCCACTTCAACCAATCAACTTGAATTCTACTATTAACATCCTCATCTATATCACCATCGCTTTGAACAACAGACCTAAGATATCTAAATCGTCCACATCTTTTAATAATTTGATCACCCAAAGTTACACTTTTGTCACTAGAACTACTATTACTAAAATTACATTTCATGTATTCAGTTTTAGTTCTGCTCAAATGAAGGTTTTTAGACTCCAATGTAGACCTCCATAATTCAAGTTTTTCCAGAGCTTTTTCTCACGTCTTATCCACGAGCAGGATATCATCAGCAAAAAACATACACCAAGGTATATTCTCCTGTAAATGTCCAATAAGACCATCCATAACTAAAGCAAAAAGAAATGTGCTTGAAGCCGACCCCTGATGTAATCCAATAGAAATAGGAAAATAATTGGTCAATCCTCCTTTAATTCGAACACAAGTAACAGCTCTATTATACATATCTATAATGACTTGAATATTAATCAAATCAACATCTTTATTCTCAAGAACCCTCCAAAGGATATCTCTTGAAACCTTATCGTAAGCTTTTTCTAAATCAATAAAAATTAAATGTAGATCCTCCTTATTATCTCTGAACTTCTCAATCAAACTTTTCAAAAAATGTATAGCCTCCATAGTAGACCTGCCCAGCATAAATCCAATTTGATTATGAGAAATCTTTGTAATACATCTTAACCTATGTTCAATTACCCTCTCCCATAATTTTAAAATATGACACATTAGCTTTATTCCTCGACTTAATTCCTCTATAATTTGCACACTCTTGTGTATCCCCTTTATTCTTAAAAATGGGGAACAAAATACTATTCCTCCACTCCTTAGGCGCCTTTTTAGTTTTTAAAATAATATTAAAGAGTTTAGTAAGCCAAGTTAGTAAGCCAAGAAACTCCCAAATCTCCTAAAAATTTCCACATTGCAATTGAGATATCATCGGGTCCTACAAATTTTCCACCATTGATTTTCTTTAAAGTTATCTCAACTTCTATTTTACAAATGTGACGGTAAAAATGAAACGTTTTATTATTATTAACGATAATAAGATCACTAAGGTCGATCGTATTTTCAAAAACTTCATCAAAATAACTCACCAACCAATGTTGAATATCTTATTCTAAGAGAAACGTTTATGTCGCATTTTCAGAAGCATCTCTTATTATTAATCAAGCTTAATTCATTTATCTTTAAAAATTTTCTCTCACGACATTATACTTAATTATGTGATGTCTTCCAAGATAAAGGTAAAAAATACTTTTAAATTAATAATTAGTTAAAAATAATCCTATATCCAAGTTATGTGATCTCCTATTTCTTAAAATTATGTTGTCTCCATGTAAGTATCTATGCTTCATGGTGTCATAGCAGAATTACAATTATCCAAGTTATGTGATCTCCTATTTCTTAAAATTATGTTGTCTCCATGTAAGTATCTATGCTTCATGGTGTCATAGCAGAATTACAATCATCATTTATCTCGGAAAAAAAAACAATAATAAAGGTTAAGTTTTGCCTGTGGAAAAAATGCAAGTCATCATAGTGCAAAGACAATTATCAGTTGCATTCATGTTTGAGTTCGGAAAAGAATTAAAACATCAGAGCTATCAATAGAAAGAAAAAAGAGAAGTATCCAAACTTCCATTCTTACAGGAAGAACATCAGCGACTATTTGTTTTCATCCAATCGTAAAATCAATATGAACATTGCATTTGAGGTACATACTGGCACGGACCACTTAATATACAAAATATGTATCTAAGTTGTACCAGGTATCTAAAACCCCTAACCAAATACCCCCTTCCTGCCTTGAGTCTACATCAGCAGATAACAATTTTTTTAAACAACCCCTCACCAACTTCAGTATTCAAAACTGCCAATCATTTTCTTGCACGCCAACAATCTCCTACACTTTTCTAGACAACCAACAAGTCCTGCAAATTCTCACGTTTAGCTGGTATTTATTTATTCGCCTTAGTCCATCTGTTTTGTCTGGGTGTTTGAGACTGTCACATTATCAAACCATGATATGGCAAAATTAATTTAAACTGCTCACCTCTGCGACAGATCTATCCAGCATCCTCCACACCTAATCGGACCGCCAACTCCCTATATGATCATCCTTGGTGGCTGAAGAGCATCAACAGCAATAAAAAGAATCTTCCCAATGATCTTCAATGGACTGTCCAGGTGAGCTGTCCAATGCCCACATCTTATCTGTTCCTCAAAAAAAATAGTCCTTACCCTTTCAAAAAGATAAGAAGTCCACTTTATACTTTCGAGTTCTTGCCACACTAATTGCCCACGTCTCGCCTTTCCTTCTTAAATGTCAAAATTTATGCCTTTTGATAAAGCTTGCTTACAAATTTAATTCTTATATGTGCAATCAACTATTAGTTATTTTTATGCCTAAATATGGTGCCGCGAAGTTCATATGCTTTCTGACAAAAAAAAAGATGTTGTACTCGAGTATTTGAAACTATAATCTCGATCAGGAAGCTAAAGATCCATGGGCCAAGCCTCTGCGTTGTAGATTTAAGTTTAAGGCATAAGCCCAATTTAAAAGCTGATATAAGAATTAGACTAAACAAAATGAATGTCATAAATTGATCTATAGTCAACCTCTCAATGTTGTTACATAAGCCCACATTAAGAGGATAGAATGTAATTGGAAAGTTTTTAGAACTTCTTTGAGAACTCCTATTTACTTATCAATCAATTAATAGGATCTCGAGCACTATTTCATGTGGTGGACTACTTCCACTACTTGTTTTCTCCTCCTACTTGCCGTTGAAAAACTCTCCCTCTGTGTTTAGGCTTTCCCCACTGAACAGCAAGCAGATTGCTCCTTTTCCTTCCGCCACTGAACAGTCATAACCATCACTAATTTAGTATTATTCTTCACTTAGGTTTCTTTAGGGCAGCTTATGCTTTTTTATTTTTGTTGCGAAAAGCTAATTTCCCAACCAAAATTTCAAATATGCTTTCCAAAATCAATTTTTCTATGAAAAAGATAGGAAACTCTGAATGTTTTGTCATCTAAACGATACTACTTTAACTGGTTGCTTTTCTCACCAAAGAAGTTAAAAAGATGTCTCAAACATCTTAGATGGCAAACAACTTGCCACTGTATTTTTTCTTCATTATCTATTGTTACACCCTTTGATTTCCCACCATAATCACCAGCAATTCCCTGAATTTCTGATTACTAAAACAATCAAATTCAAACAGTTTGATTCCAGTAAAAGATTTTGAAGGGTTGTTGATGTAGTGAAGCTGATGTTTTCGTGTCTGGCAACAGGCAAGATCTAAAATTGCGTGATTGGATATTGAACTTTTTTCCATACATGAGGTAAAGGCCAAGCCTTGATGGATTTTAAGGTATAAACTTCAGAATAAATTAATTGCACCAAGTAAGAAGTATTATACTAACATCAAAGGATGAACTGAAAAAAGTATATTAATATCCTAATATCAAATCATAAAGCAAAAAAAATATCATATAAACATCAAAGTCACCAGAATCTTATTGTAGTGGGAATGATGCTTTTTCACATAAGAAATCTTCATAGAAATCTTCATTACATAAACAAGTTAGTAGATTAGTATTTATTTTTAAAACTTTGCATTTCTATTTGCTAATAGTTAAGTACATTAGTTTTGACATCAAAGGATGAACGGAAAAAAGTATATTAATATCCTAATATCAAATCATAATATC